ATCTAGCCCAGTGCTTGGCATACCGTGGAAACTCAGTAAGTATTTGTGGGATGTATACATGCATATGCACATGATCTAATGCATATGTAAACTAATAAATGAGACCCTAGTTTATTTCAGGGCCCCCTGATATCAAAAGATCACCTTTCTGGGCAGTGGATCGCCTCTGTTCTCCCAGCCCAAATCAGAGCACCTCAGAGCCCTGTAAGCAAACCAGTGTGGAAAATATTGCTTCTCTTAATCTGTTAGCAACGGATCAGATGACAGGCTCCGGGGAACTAATTTAAACTCATTTAAATAAGGACCCTGCTGCTTTATTAAAACTACGTCCATAACAACAGTTTCAACTGTGCCTGCCCTTGGCCTGGACTGCAAGGGTTTACCTTCAGAGGCTGCTCCTTATTAATATCCCATTTGCTAAATTACAAGCAGCTTATCAATACAAAAAGCCAGGTCTTTAAATATTTTAACACTTAATTGCTGACAGCAGCCCTCACCCCCATAACCCTTCCTCCGAATGAAAAGCTTATTGCTTAGGAAACTCTACTCCATGCCACCTTCCATCTTCAGGTTTGCAGACTCTGAGATGACTTGAAGCCATAGGGGTTTGGAGCCCCACAGGGACCCCTGGGCAGGGAAGAAGGCGGCCAGGTCATTCCTGAAGCCGCAGAGGTCGCTGGTGCACAGATGTTGACTGAACATCAAGTCAGAATCCAGAATGTCTTGCTGTGAGCTCAGGCTCCGGGGTCAGATTCCCTAAGTTCAAACCTCTGCCATTTACCGATGATGCCATTTACTGAGAGTTATGGGCTGAATTGTATCCCCACAAAAGAGGTCCCCCAAGAACCTCAGAATGTGACCTTACTTGGAAATAGAGTCTTTAACAGAGGTAATCAAGATAAAATGAGGTCATTCCTTATAAATCCAATATGACTGATATCCTTATAAAAGGGGAAATTTGGACACTTACTTGGTCCAGACAGCACCCCCATAACTTCAGACCCCTCAGAAATAGCAGAGCTCATGGGAATATAAATTCTGGAGCTGACTGCCTGCAGTTAAATCCCCACCTGCCCGGTGTTCCCTTTGTGGCTTTGGGTAATTCAGTCATCCTTTCTGTGCCTCAGTTTCCTCTGTAGCATGGGACTACCCACCGAACTGATCTCATAGGGTGGTTATGAGAAGTACATGAATTAATATTTGAAGGGGCTCAGAAGAGTGCCTGGGACCTAGGAAGTACTGTGTATGTGTCTGTTAAATAAAATTTAAAATAGAATTTTCCTAAACCCACCAAGTAGCCACCACCATTCACACCAGGGATTTCTTTGGAGGAAATTGGTCCACACAAAAACTTGAACATAAATGTTCATAGCAAGCCCCAAACTGGAAACAATCTAAAGTCCCTCAGCTGATGAATGAACAAATGTGTCCATCCATACAATGGAATATTACTCAGCCATAAAAAGGAATCAAGTTCTGAATCATGCCACAATGTGGATGAACCTTGAAAATATCATGCCAGACACAAAAGGCCACCCATTTTATGATTCCATTTATATAAAATGTCCAAAATAGGCAAATTTATAGAGACAGAAGGTAGATTTGTGGTTATCTAGGGCTGGGCAGAATGGGGGAGATTAGGGGACAGTGACTAAAAAGTACAGGTTTCTTTTTGGGGTGATGACAATGTTCTAAAACTGACAGTGGTGATGATTGCACTACCCCATGAATATACTAAAAGCCACGGGCTTTTACCCTTTAGATAGGTGAATGGTATGGCATGTGAGTTATAGCTCACTAAAGCTATAGCTCAAACAAATAATAATAATAATAAATCTAAATAATATTTCATGAGCGTTAACAATGTGCCAGGCCTTGTCCGGGCACCCACATTTCTTCACTGAATCGTCACTTCAACTCTCTGAGGAGCTAGGCCTTTATCATCTCCATTCTCCAGGTGAGAAACTGGAGCAGGGACCCAGCTGGTGGAGAGCCATTTGGGCAGAGAGCCCAGGTAACCCAGAATCCATTCACGACAGGCTGCAGGCTGACCAGAGTGGCCTTCAGGACTTATGTGACCACAATCCACAGTCCAAGACAAGGCCTTTGTGTCCTATACACAGGGATCTCCACAAAGACCCACACTTCTGGTACCCACATTCAAAGGGAGCAAGGGCCCTCTCCAACCTTGGATAAGGCAGTTGCCTTTGTTGTCATAATTACCTTCCTCTGCTTTCCAATAGAATCCAAGCTTATTGTTTTGAACCTAACAATACAGAGTGCTGTCAAGAAAAAAGAAAATAAAATTCCCCTGGAATCCCACCCCTCAGAAACAGAATTCATGGCAAGGGATTTGGCCCAAGGAAAGAAACACCTGTTCGCTCAGTTAGTTAAATTTTTGAAATCAAAGAGAAAAATATATTTTTTTACTTTTTTTTAATATGGTGACGGGGGAAGACTTTGGGTGGTGAGCACACAGAGCAATATACAGATCTTGTAACACAGAAACCCACACCTGAAACCTATATGTTCGTATTAACCATTGTGACCCCAATAAATTTAATAAAATAGTAAACTATATATTCATAGACTTCAAAAAATTAACTTAATTAAATTAAAATTTAAAAAATTTAAGCTGGGTCTTGGCAGGTTGCCTCAGTGCTATTTTTTTAAATCCTCTCCCGAAGACACATTTATTGATTTTAGAAAAAGGGGGAGAGAGAGAGAGAGATTCAGAGAGAGAAACATCGTTCGGTTGGTTGCCTTCCTGGACCTGGGATCAAACCCACAACCTAGGTCACTCCAACCAACTGAGCCACACAGGCCAGGGCTACCTCAGTGCTATTTTATAACCAGTTCCACAAGCCCAATTTTAGTCTTTTGTGTCATCACTGGGGGCCTTTGGAAGAAGGGAGGGAGGCTTTGATTCTCAAGTCACTTTTGTTAAACAGAAAAACCAAAAGGCTAGTTCATGTGGTCACTCGGATGTGGTAGAAACAGCTGAGTTCATCCAAAACTTCCCTGGCATCTGACCCAAACTGAGGGCAAGTGTTTAGCTGAGAAACAAAGACGGACATTAAGTGCAGAAAACCCCTTCTGTGCCCACACAGCGAGCAAGTTATGTTGAGTTATGCAGCTATTTTGGGGACAATGATGTTTTGTAAACAGTCGGCAAAGTGGCTTTGTCAGGGATGTTACAGCGGTTTGGAGCCCTTCCACTGACAAAGACTGTATGGAAGATAAGGCCACATGGTATTTAAAAATACACATAAATTAAATTAAAGCAGATATAGATAACAAATACCTGAAAACCTTTGTTTCCTACTGTACAAGCATCTATACGTCGACACCTAGAGACTGTTAACAGCTAGGGAGTAAACTGAGACCTGCCTTCATTTATGGGCCACGAAGCCTGCAAAATATGCTTAACATAGTCCAGAAAAGGTGACACTAGTCCTGCTAATACAGTCTTTAGTGCTAGAGACATGTAAATATTTTTGAGAATCCTAAACATGCTAAATTAACTTTACATTTATTAAGTCCACGCAATAAAAAAAATTATTAGTTTTCCATCCTATTGTTATTTGTCTCCACTTTATGGCAGAGAACCATGGGCCCCTGCATTGTCCCAGAAGGGTGGGGACAGTGTCTCTTTTCTATTGAGTAAATGAATGAATGAACAAATGAGTCCTAGGGTCTTAGAATATGTGAGCTGCCTGGAGACTTAGAGGGCAATTGTTTATATTTAGCTGCCATCTATTGTCTGCTAGTATGGACCAGGCCCTGCACTGGGTCGGACACACACACACACACACTAAACACCTTTAACCCTCATGACAACCTCATGAGGTGCACATAACCATCCCCATTTCACAAAGGAAGAAACCAAGGCCCAGAGAAATTCAATGGCTTCCCGAAGACACACAGCCAGAGCACTGCGGAGCAGCCACAGGGACCCAGGGCTTCTGGCTGCACATCCCCAGGCCTCTTCCTCACCTGCTGGTGTCCCACCCCCATTACAAATGAAGAAAAGTCACACAGCCACAGACAACAATAACACTAACAAAAAACAATAATAGCTTTTGATCTATGCCAGACATTGCAGGGAATCTTTACATATATTGACTCATTGCATCCTCAGCGGGATGCCCAGATTTAGAAACTATGTAATTCGCATTTTAGAGATGGGGAGTGGAGGCTCAGAGAGGCTAAGTAACTTGCCCAAGGTCACCCAGCTAGTCAGTACGCCCCCTGCTTCTTTCCTGACCTGGAACCATCTACACATAACAGCACAATATGTATGGAAACTCGGGGGGTGTTTTCCAATCCTTTAAGTGACTATAAACACATAGAATAAAATCAGGCAGGACACACACAGAGGGTGTGCGGACAGAAGGAGGACCCTGGGCCGTGTTGTGGTTAAAATCATGGCTCTGGAGTCCTCCCTGGGTAGATCTGAGCCCCAGCTCTACCTCTCCCTAGCCACAGAACTTGGAGCCATCCTGTCACCTGTCCAGGCTTCGTTAGTGGAGGTAAAATGAGACTAACGAGAGCTATTGGGAATTAAATGTAAGTCGGTACATATATCCTTTGCACTTCCTGTACACCCTCAGTGAAGGGCTGCCATCATCATCATCATTAGTGTAATAGTAATATTATTACTATTGTTATCATTACATAAAATGACAGCAGCCACTTAGCCCCTGGTGGCCTTCTTTTCTGTCAGAGGATCCTGAGACAAGAGAGCATGTAAGCTTCAGCACGGAAAAGAAAGAAGACCTTATGTCTTGTCAGTGGGCACAGATTCCAGAAGTCATCGTGAAAGGTAGGACGGCCAGGCTGAGGGGTCACTGGCTAGAAGCTGGACCCAGCAGGTTAACCGAGTAGCTCAATAATTCCTTCTGATCCAGAGACTGAGGGGTTCCCTTTCCTTCCCATCATAGCTGACCTCCTGTATCCCTCCAGCCGTCATACGGGGTCCAGAGAATCGGGTCACTCACCGCCATGACCAGCTCAAATGGGTACTTGTAGATGCGGACAGGAGACTGGTACTTCTGCACCATGTTCTCGGGGAAGCACCAACAGAAGCCACTCAGGTAGGAATGAGCACGGGGCCTAGGAGACAGGTGACAGGTAAGGTAGTGGCTCCCTCCACATGAAGCAAGAACCCTACCCACTGCTCCCCCATGCAAGGGGCAGGGCCACCCCCTCTGGTCCCACTCACAAATCTCCCCAGCCCTCAAAGCAAAGGACCCAGTTACTCTTGGCCAGGCCCCAACACCTTCCTGGTCCATTACCCACTGCCCCAGACCACACTCACCCTCCAAGAGCAATCAGTACCCCCAAACTTTCCTTGGTCCCTACTGCTTCACATGGAGGCCCCCAGTAGCACCCCTCACCGCCACTCACATGGAAACACACACATTCGCAATTCTTACACTCCCACAATTCAACACCCACACACCCCAGAGCTCGCCACAAGAGTCACTGTACCTTCCCTCCCATTTCCTCCAAGATACCTTGACACACACAGAGTCTTTACCAAATTTCACACGCACTGTGTCACACACACACACACACACACGACTCTCCTCCCACACGGGACCACCTTTGCACACACTCGTAACTTTCACACAAACACACAATTCCTCTCGTGCACACAGATGTGTGTACACACACACACACACGCACGGATGAGCAGATGCACACTTACACACGAGCATGCACACACGCATGCACGCACGGGCCGGCTTACCCTTGTCCTGGAGTCTCCGGGGACGCAGCCCCGGGGCAGCGCGGAGCTCAGCCCGCCAGGGATCCCGAAGCCGCCCGGCCCGAGCGCAGTGCCTGGGGCGAAGCCCGACCACCGT